CCATCACTGCATTTACATTTGGGTTAAAAAAGGATTTGGCTAATGCACAGAGCTCAACTCACATGAGCAATGAAGGGTGCAGCCCCCTCCAGTAATGTGATAACATGGCAGACTAGATGCTCATTAGGAACTGAACTGGCAGTATCCAGTCATTTCATTTTTTGATTTAGGCCAGTTTTTATAGCACATCTCCTGCTATAAAGGGTTAATGCACAACATACTGCCCCACCTATTGCCAACCCACAGGCACCAGGTTTGGTGAGGAGAGGCAAGAGCAACCTGATTCAGGAGAGGCAAGAGCAACCTGGGAGTTAGCTGAGGGCCCTGGTCCATCCCACTTCACCCTGGAGAAGAGGTGAGGATGGAGGGGTCAGAGCAGGGGTGAGTCGCTTGCTGCTATCAGCTCCAGACCCTCCCGACCCCGCTACTGTTCCAGGTCGCCTTGGTCCCCACAGCTTCTGAAGCACAAGGCCCCTCAAAGTGGGAGTGCAGGACAATTGTCCCAGTCCATCCTATGAACAGCTGGCTCTAAAAATATAGACTCAAACATGGGTGGAGCCAGGCCCCACATTCCTGAATATTGGTGGAACCATGGGCCCACAACTCACCACCCATGTTCCAATCACTAGGGAAATGAGAACACACAAGTGTATAAATGCACTAGCTTGTTTCTCAGACTCTTACTCATAACTTTCCTGACTGTTTTTCCAAATGAAACTAACAGGATGAAAGATACAGCATTGAGTAAAAAAAGTCACCCACCTCAGGATTTCCAGCAACACCTTTCAGGACTTACAGACCTGACCGAGTGCTGTACAGGGGAAAAGTACAATTTTTCGGACTGCATGCTGGGTGTTGTAGTTCAGCTGGTAAATTGCTTTTCAAGACAACGCTATTCTCTGATGAAAAGTTGCAATACTGCCATCTAGTGAGGCTTGAGGTATAGAAACACTTATTAGCACTCGAGAAGCTTGTCAACATCGCCTGAAAGTTACTCTAAACAAACAAGCCAACCCCTCAAAACAAAACCACAAAAAAAAAAAAAAAAAAAAAAAAAAAAAAAAAAATCAAACCAAATCAAATCAAACTAAACATAAATGAATTTATTTTCCCACAACAGTTTATATGGACTATCCATCAGTCACCACAAGTTCAAGGAACAAAGAATACACAATACATATGCAACAACATTTTGCTGACAGAGCAACAAAATGAGATAGAGGATGCCTCACGGATTCCCAGAGAGCTGGCAGACAGCGTGATAAGTCCTGCTAGAATGGCTAAGGCAGGACAGTGGGTGTTTCAGGAGTTTGTGAAGGAATTGGTCCAACTACAGCAGTAAATACAGAATCTGACAAGCCCTCCAATGGGGAAAGATGTGAGGGAGGGAAGGGTGGTGCTGGGACTCTATGGATTGGGCTCTGAAGCGGATCCCAAAGGGTTCTTGCTCATCTTCAAAAGATTTGTGACTGGTGCAGGCTGGGTTAAAGGATTAAGGGCCCTATGGTTAGCCCCTTATGTGTCAGAAGCCCAAGCTGCTAACATGTCACTGAGCAAGGAGCAGGCCCAAAAGTACAGCACGTTAAAGGCTGCCATATTGGACCAGACAGGCTTAGTTGGTGAAAGGTACCAGCAGAAGTTTAAGAGACTTACCTTTGCCCTGTAACAGTTTATGCAGTCTTCTAAATGTATCACTAAGGCCAGGTGAGGAGACACCACCAGAGACAGAGGCTGTGGTAAAACAGGGGAATACAATAAAAGTGGATTTTCAAAGTAAGGTGGCTTGCCTGACAAATGGGAGAAGAGTAAAAAAGGTTGAACTCCTCAAGCAGTCAAATCCATGAGCATGAGGCAGAAGAGGAAAGCCACTTGGGCTGAGTGCGATACAACCCATCAGTGTGGGGGGAAAGGCCACAGTAAGCAGGTTTGCTCATACATGGAATTAACTAGGAAAATACTGTGGGTGGACTGTGGTGATAGGGAGCACTGAGGGAAAACACAGTTTATGTAAGGGTGGGCCAACAACCACATGGGAGGGTTACGGATTCAGTAGCCAGTGGTTGTTTTGGGATGCAGAGCCTCTGGAGCTGGCAAAAAAGTCTTCCCTGCAGCAGACTATGAGGGGCTCTCTCCTCCTTGTGAATGGTTATGCTGCTGGTTGAGCCGTCACACATGGGTGCCCATGCTGGCATTTCCTAACACTTCAGCTGGCAACCTCAGCAATGACCTTTTTAGGTGTAATTTCCTGTTTGTTTTTTAAAGCAAATTGACAAAACAAATGCCAGCATGTGACATGACTGGTCAAAGGCATTAGAACTTGTAGATCCACCACATGAAGCCCTTTTGCTATTTGGGCTAATGGAGTAATTGGTAACAGTAATAAGCTGTCATCCTCTATGTGGACCAGCACTGGAGGCAAGGGTGGGTGGGAGGGAGAGAGAGAATTTACCAGAAGGATTCAGGGCCATTTATGGGTGTAGCAAAACCAGCAAGACTTAAGCATGCCGGTTCCATTCCAGACTCTAGAGTGGAGTATGCATGTGATAGCGTGTACAGATTCTTTTTTGATCCTGTACTCTTCCCTGCTATGGCTTCTCATCCCAGGCTTGCTCTCATTTAGCCAGTTCCAATCTCAATTCCTCAGGCTTCTCATCCCAGTCCCAGACTCCTTGTACACTCATCTCCTTCATCTCACTCCATTGTTTCCAACTGTGCGCCCTGTAGTAAGATGAAGGCATAAAACATAAGCCAATGTAGACCAGGCTGGTCTAAGGTCTAGCTAACAACACACACAAAACCTGGCTAACAAAAAGCAAAGCTAAGCTGTGAGCAAGAGGCAGGCTCCTGCTCACAGAACTTGGCATGAACAGGGCTGAGAGTGCAAAACACTAATTGGTAATAGGTCCAGGTGTAGAACAGTATTTGGTACTGGTCATAAGTTGAAAGCACATGAAAGCACCATCAGCTCATTAAAAAATGCCTTGGTACCCACTCCCCACAGATACCGACCCAGGTTCAGAAAAGGGTCTAAAGTGACAGCATGTTTGATAGAGAGGATTTATTCAAACCACGAGGTACAGGGCGATGGGTGGTATTTAAGTAGTGTCAGAGGGTGGCGAGCTGACAGTGTGGCAACCTGACGTATCAGCAGTGATGTATAATTTGTTTGTACCTGTATATAAAGTGGTGTCTTGGGGGAAGGGGAGGAAGGGCAGTGGGAGTTTCCCACTGGTTGAGCTGAGGCCATTGTTTTACGTACATGTGTGTCGTGCTTCAGTAGAGTCTACTGCCAACTATCACTGTACTTTGCTTAACAATAAACCTGGCTGGGCACCTTTGATCTTTATCTGGTTTGTGGTCTTTGGGGGCCCTCGCAGGGTCTGCTGTGGTCATTGGGCCCACATCATAGAATCATAGAGCTGGAAGAGACCTCAGGAGGTCATCAAGTCCAGCCCCCATCACCGAGCACACACGCAAGCAGCCTTCTGGTTATCATCAATCGACAGAGCCATGATGGCAGTAAATCCTCTTAACTACACATCCAGTTCTGTCTTATCTGTCCTTGCCAGTCAATCCAAATCTCATCCTCCGGACTCCTTGACAGTATCCTGGCACAACTATTCACAGTTCCCTGTTCACAGCTCCTCAACCAAGCTGTTTTTCCTCCCTTCCTCACTTGATCCCTTCTGCTTATCGCAAAACTCATCCCCACTAACTCCCGGATCTCCAGGTCCTCATGCATTCTCAGGACATCCTCTAACCTAACTCCATGTCACATTTCTTGCACGTCCAGTCACAGTTCTCTTCCTGCTCCCTGGCTCATCAAATGTTTCCCCTCTCTCTTGCCCCCTTAAATCTTTGGTCAAATTGCCCAGCCTTACCAATCATCTCTTCCTTTTCAGGCTCCTTAGCACAGCCTACTCACCCTGCCCAGGCAGGTTTCACTCTTTTCCCTTCTAAACAAGGTGCCTTTATCCTCCATGCTGCCTGAGCCCAGAAGGAGCACCACCAAAAGCACAGGAGAGACTTCTTGGTCTCAGCTCTGGACCCAGCATAGCCCAGATCTTCAAATACAGGGAGAGTTCTGCTCAACCCCAGGCTACAATGTACAAAATACATGGAAACTGTGGGGAATTAAGCTGCAAAGCTCTAGCAAGTCTCTAAGGAACATGCACAAACTGGCCAAATTTGGGCAGATTTTCATATGGATAGCAAAGGACACATTGGCATCTGACACACAGGCCATCCCTGCCAAATCTCAACTCCTTGTTCCAAAGCATGGTGATCCTGGAGTTTCCTCAAAAGAAAAGGTTGGTGGTAGTGTGTGTTTGTCGTCCGGAAATTGGTGGCAGGGGTGGGATCACATGAGGATTACCTGTTGTGTTCCCTCCCTCTGAGGCATCCGGTATTGGCCACTGTTGGCTGACAGGATACTGGGCTAGATGGACCGTTGGTGTGACCCACTACGGCTGTTCTCATGTTTCCACCATCAAGCAGCAAGTGCATCAGAGTTCTTGGCCTCACAGGCTAGTATTGACAACTCATTCCAGTGTTTGCCACCATTGAAATGTCCTAACTGACCTGGTGAAGATCAAGGCTAAAAAAGTCCTGTCGTTAGAGGACTGCAGAAAAGCCTTCCAGGGACTGAATGAGAGGTTGAGCCAGGAACCCCTACTCATACATCTGGACTTCAGCCACAAGTCATGCTTTAGACAGGTGCCTCAGACATGGCTTAAGTGCAGCATTGTCCAGAAGACCGGAGGGGAGGAACG